AGGAAAAGGTCAAGTTGGCGATGAAATGGTGTAGTCGGCGTGTAGCCGAACAATTTCGCGAAGCAGTACAATATCGCCCAACGACTCAAAACATGAAGAGGCTAAAGGCTAAAGCTGGAAGGCGATGAAATCGACCAAACGGCGAATCACCAAATGTATCAGCGATCCCGACTAACTACGCCGAAGAGTCCTTCGCAACACATTTTCAAACACTATAAATACTTGTTTAAATTTCTAGCTTAGTATCATATCACTATTATTCTTAGAACTTTTTACAGGTTTTTAGAGAGTCTAAGTTTTAGAGGATTTTGGAGACTTCGTTCTAAGACCTGGAAGATTCAAACGGTTTCAACTCCAAGAAATTGGACTTGGGTCTTTAAGATTCTTCACTCTTGATGTGTTTTAAGACTTAAATATTCATACCCAGCAGATGGAAACTGATATTAGTATAAATATTTATCAGTTTTACATGTATAGCTAAAACCCTAATTCTTCTGGTGTAATTTTGTGAATATGGGTTAGATTTGTTGGGTCTTGCTTTTTGATGCTTTATTTGTTGTTTAAATGTGATTTCGTTTAGTAGTTGCGTATGAACTTAATGGAGTTGTAGTTGCAAATACGATTCCATCTTAGTGTGTTTACCTTGCTCGAGAGAGAGGTCGTAAAACTAAGACTACTAAATTGATAGCCGGTGGTATTGGGTCAACATAGGTTCAGCTCAAGAGAGTGAATCCTAGTCCTTCTCCCACACATTCAGCTTGATAGAGTGAATGGGCTAAGGGAGAGGTTGTGCTTAAAGCGGCAACTTGATATTCGAGAGAAACCAAGTCGATTCGGGGTAAGGTTCTCGAGAGAAAATTTACCCCCACTATAGTCTAACCTAGTCACAAATACTCAATAATTTACTATCAAAAGCATGTACCCGATAGTTTAGTTTATCTCATATTCCTATCACATCCCAATAACCTTGTCTCTCTATCTAGTTTTCGTATATTTTCACTGGTTGTAGTTGTTAATTAATACAAACCCTCCCCCCAATTGATAATTGATGCTTGCGTCACCCCCTTTAGATTTAGTATGTTTATATTTGATAATTTTTATTGCTATGACTAATTAGAACTAAATTTTAGTTTTCTATTAATTCTCAAAACCACTCCTTTTGGACTTGACCCCAACCCTTGGTTGGGTTACTTTACTATTGTACAATCATAGACACTCGAATTGGAAGTTGTGTCTTGATTATGCAAACATCAAAAATTGCGCCGATGCCGGGGAGTGGTGTTAATTGAGAATTTGTAGTTAAGTAAAAAAAAATGTTCTTGTTCATTGTAGTTCTACTTACTTAATATATAGTTTTATTTCATTGGTTTGTGTAAATATTTCAGGAAGCATGAGTGTTAATTGCAGTAACGGAAGCCAGGTGGGCCACCAAGACGACATCGGAAATCTCATAATGTCCAGGAGCCCAACATTAATGACCCCCATCTCATGGGAGGTATTGGGGCCATCCGTTTACCTCCAGCCGAAGGAAATGTAGTGTTCCATATAGCGAGCACTATGTTGCAAATGTTCCAAATAAAAGGACTTTTCAGTGGATTGGCGTATGAGGATCCTCATGAGCATCTTCAAAACTTCGTAGATTTGTGCGGACCATTCTCTTTCAAAGATATCTCTCAAGAGTCAGTTTGGTTAAGGTTATTCCCTTTCTCGTTGATGGGAGAAGCATGCAAATGATTGGCGGAGTTGCCACGCAAATCCAACATTTCTTGGGAGGAGTTGGTCACCGCATTTAATGTGCGATTTTTCTCTCCCGCGAAGATGATGACGCTTCGGGACAGTATCCAAAGCTTTAAGCATCTAGAAGGAGAGCCTTTGCACGAAACTTGGTTGCGGTTCAAAAATTTGGTGCTTCAATGCCCAACCCATGGTCTGGTGGATAACGTGCTTCTATAGTACTTTTATCGGAGTTTGGACTCGGTAAATAAAGGTACTGCTGACCAACTTTCACCTAGAGGCATGATGAAAGTGGCCGTGAAGGCATTTGGTGGCATGGCTTGCAAGGCCCCTTGGCTAAGTCACTGCCTCCATCTTCATGAGTATCACCATGGGTCGTGGTGTAGACCACGAACCGTGGGAGCTTCCGTGAAGATTCTTTGGCCTTGGAGGGCTAGGCAGGTGAAGGAGGAGTTACTGCCTTAGGACCACGAGCAGTCAAAAAGGCCGCGGTCCACATTCATGAGCCGTGAAAGTGGGCGTGGTCCCTGACGGGGAAGCCCAATTTAAGGGTAATTGAGTAATTTCATTTTAAGTTTTATTAAGTGGGGTTTATTTTAAATGGTTTTTATATTATAAATATATAGTTTTAAGTCTTAAAACCATCCTTTAACTCATTATTCTCAAATATCTAAATCAAAACCTCCAAAGTTCTTCTCTCTCAATATTTCTCTATGAACTCAAGGAAGAAGAAGAAGTGGGAACTAGGGTTTGGATTCAAAACTTTCTTCATCAAATTTCTTTGGGAATTCATCAAATAAGGTATGGTGGCTCTTTATCTAGGGATAGTTTTCTCCCTAGAGACAAATCTCAAAATGGTATTCAAGGTTTTCAAAAGTTATGAAAATCCCCAATTCTTCCTCAACTCATGGGTTCTTGCATTAAACGGTTTCAAATAATTTATTATGATTATGTTATGGTATAAATGATGTTTTAAAAATGAAAAATTCCATGAACCCATGATCTCCCTAAATCCCTAAATTTGGCTTATGAATTGGGTTTTATGATAATGCTTGGGTATTGATGGAAATGTGCTTAGATTGAATTGTATTATTGAATCCTGTTGTTATCTATATCTATTGTTTGAAATTGGATAATGGTGATTTTGGTTTTGGAGAATGGTAAGTTGACCTACTTTCATGCTATGTTGGAATTGTTCTTGTTTGGATTGATCTACTTATGGTGGAGATGTTTACTTATTGAATGAGTATTGATTATGGCCTTGAAGGCATTATATAGTGAATTGGAGTATTGTCTAAATGTGTATATACTTGTATGTGCAATATGAGGGTTATGTATATGGTGTTCAAGAATAGCATAATGGTATATTATACAATGTGTATTTATGGTGATTGAAAGTGTGTTCTCTCCTAATGTTTATATGTGTTGATGATGGACTATGAAAGGTCTCTATATAGTAATGGTGTCTCTTGAACCGGTAGACCTAAGAATGGTACCCCTTAATGATCAGTCTAGGACCCTATGTGAATGTAAAGCCTTGAAGGGGTAAACCTAAGGGTGATGACCTCCTACTTGTGTGAACGATAGACTTTGAGTTGGTGGACCGGAACGGTAGAAAACCCTCTCTAAGAAAGTCAATGAACTACCCTTTATTAACCTTGATCGGTAGATTCTGGTGGTGCCCTTCTTGGTAGAGTGTTATGGGTCGGTAGGCCCAATGATGGCGCCCTCTCTAGTACTCACATGTGAATGAAATTACTCTATGGGTAATAAGGCTAAGCACCGAGTGGATATGGTTAAGATGGTGGCTCTCTTTGAGTATGAGGTTAGAGCACAATGAACGTCTTTGGATATCCCCTAAACCATGTGCCTACATGGGCTGTTTACTAGTTCTACCCTTGACAAGTAGAACACCTTCCACAGTGTGGGGTCTTATGACACCGGATTTCATGCCTAGCTAGTGTGGTCTATATCGGTGAATGCTTATATCCATCATGTGTGATGTGCACTCTAGTTATTGGATAGGTTCTACAGTGTGTAGGTAGTAGTATGGGATGCTATCTACACATAGCACGAGTAGGCTTTGAAGATGCTAAAGTGAGTTCCCTAAGTCTTAAATGACTATTATGTGAGCGTCCTCTAAATGCATAAATGTGTCCCTAAGCGTCTCAACTAATGAAATGTTAAATTAGTAGCTTATATTGATAGAATGAGTTGGTTATCATATTAAGTTGCAATAGAAGGGTCCTTATTTATGGTAGCCTTGGGGAACACTTAGGTGTGGCATGAAGAATGTAGTACGAGCAGCCCCCCCATGTCTTACTTAGGTGGGTCTTAGGGTAACTTTAGGTGGAGGGTCTAAGATGATGAAACAGTCTATTTGACAAATGTGCATATGTGTTGAAAATTTGTAATAGTTCAGCATGATTATAATATGGATATTGTCTTGTATGTAGATGTTGATTTATAATGTGTCTCATATTTATGTGGTTTATGGATATGTATCAAAAATGGCATAAAAGCATATATCTCAAATAAATGCCCCTTTCAGCATGTTTTTGCATGGTCATCTATCTTACTTAGTACTTAATTGTTCTAACCCCATTCTTTTCCTATGTTTTACTACAAGTGTAGGTGTTGGCAAGTGAGGTGCTTTCCACAGTGAAGCATGGGATTAGAGTTTCTCTCAAGACTTTTTGGTATGCCCTCATATGTCGAGGGCACGGATTCTATGTTCTAGTTTCTTTTATAAAGACTTTGTAATATACCTGTAGTATTCTTCTTTATTGTAAAGGGTTGTCTCCCTAGTATGTTTCTTGTGACTTGGGTCTAAGTTGGCCATGTGAGACTAGTATTCCGTTTGCGTATAAAGACTTCTTTAAAGTGTTATTGATTTTCAAGTCCTTTGATTTCGGTAAAAAGGTTTTAATTCCGCACTATTTTTATTGCCTATGTAATGAATGAATGCTAAGGGCTTTTATAAGTCCTCTTTGAGGTCGAATACGCCGTGTTACGACTTGGGGGTGTTCTTGGGTTGTGACAAACTTGGTATCAGAGCATAAGATTTTGAAAATTATCCTTAGGTTTAAAGTCTCACAAGCCACGTCTAGTAGAGTCTTGTTCATCGGTGTGAGTCATGACACATCTATGAGCAGGAGTCTATAGGACGTTAGAAGTTACACTTCTTTGATATTCTTGATATCATGCCTTAGAGTTGAGTCCTATAAGTGTCCCCTTCCTAATCCTTTCTTTTGTGTTTATAGGATATGAATACAAGGGCTAATCCTAGAAGAGCGAAACAGGAGAATGTGGATGGGGGAGTTCCTCCCCAAGGTCTTCAAGGTGACCAAGTCCCCATAGGCAATCAAGAGAATGAGGTTCCAGTGGTTCCCCCGGCCATGACTAATGAAGAGATTAGGGCGGCTTTTCTAACTCTAGATCAAGCCATGACGGCTCAAGCTAACCGAGATGTGGGGCTTAGGGTGAATGCTAATGAGAGTACCGTGGCCTCAAGGTTCAGAGACTTTGTGAGGATGAATCCTCCTAACTTTCTTGGCTCTAGAGTGGAAGAAGATCCCCAAGAATTCTTGGATGAAATCTATAAGATAGTCGATGCTATGGGGGTTTCTTCTAGGGAGAAGGCGGAGTTGGCTTCCTACCAATTGAAGGAAGTGGCCTAAGTGTGGTTCACACAATGGAAAGCCAATAGGCCGGTTGAAGCGGGTCCTATAGAGTGGAAAGAGATTAAAGAAGCATTCTTAGGAAGGTACTTTCCCTGGGAGAAGAGGGAGTGTAAGATTGAGGAGTTCATAAATCTTAAGCAAGGTAACATGAGTGTGGAGGGGTATTATTTGAAGCTTACCTTGTTGTCTAAATACGCTTCATCTTTGGTGTCTAACCCTAGAGATGAGATGAGTAGGTTTGTGACCGGTGTAACCGACCTAGTCAAGGAAGAATGTCGTACAACCATGCTCCATAATGATATGGATACTTCTAGACTCATGATGTATGCTTAATCCATTGAGGAGTCCAAGCTTAAGAGGTTGGGTAGAGATTTGAAGAGGGGTAGATCCGATGAGCAAGGTCAACCTAGGATTAAGAAGAGGGCTCCTAACCAAGATTCCTCAAGTGCTCCTAAGGATAATCAAGGGACTGGTGGTGGTTCTCAATTTGTTAAGCCTACTTGTCACACTTGTGGGAAGAAGCATTTTGGGAAGTCTCTAGCCGGTACTAATGGATGTTGTGGTTGTGGAAAGAATGATAACAAGGTGAGGGATTGTCCTACTCTTGCGGCTAGAGGAAGGGATACTAGACAAGCTTCTTTTAGTGGTCCTAAAGTTGATGATCAAAAGAAGACTCGTTTCTATTCTCTCCAAGACAACAATGACAAAGGAGCTAATCCGAATGGAGATGCCGGTAAGTTATAGTTCCTTGCTTTTGTGATGAGATCCTTATGTGTTGTTCATGATAGTCTAGTTGGGTTTCTTCTAAGTGGGGGATGGTTTGTTAAATAGTAAAGTTGTGAGAGCCAAATCTCAAAATGGTTTGCAAGGTTTTCAAAAGTTATGAAAAACCCCAATTCTTCCTCAACTCATGGGTTCTTGCATTAAACGGTTTCAAACGATTTATTATTATTATATTATGGTATAAATGATATTTTAAAAATGAAAAATTCCATGAACCCATGATCTCCCTAAATCCCTAAATTTGGCTTATGAAGTGGGTTTTATGATAATGCTTGCGTATTAATGGAATTGTGCTTAGATTGAATTGTATTATTGATTCCTATTGTTATCTATATCTATTGTTGGGAATTGGATAATGGTGATTTTGGTTTTGGAGAACGGTAATTTAACCTACTTTCATGCTATATTGGAATTGTTCTTGTTTGGATTGATCTACTAATGGTGGAGGAGTTTACTTATTGAATGTGTATTGATTATGGCCTTAAAGGCATTATATAGTGAATTAAAATATTGTCTAAATGTGTATATACATGTATGTGCAATATGAGGGTTATGTATGTGGGTTTCAAGAATAGCATGATGGTATATTATACAATGTGTATATATTGTGATTGAAAGTGTGTTCTCTCTTAATGTTTATATGTGATGATGATGGACTATGAAAGGTCTCTATGGTAATGTTGTCTCTTGAACCGGTAGACCTAAGCATGGTACCCCTTAATGATGAGTCTAGGACCATATGTGAATGTAAAGGCTTGAAGGAGTAAACCAAAGGCTGATGACCTCCTTCTTGTGTGAAATGATAGACTTAGAGTTGCTGGACCGGAACGGTAGAAAACCCTCTCTAAGAAAGTCAATGAGCTACCCTTTATGAACCTTGATCCGTAGATCCTTATGGTGCCATTCATGGTAGAGTGTTATGGGTCGGTAGGCCCAATGATGGTGCCCTCTCTAGTACTCATATGTGAATGAAATTACTTTATGGGAAATAAGGCTAAGCACCGAGTGGATATGGTTAAGATGCTGGATCTCTCTGAGTCTGAGGTTAGAGCACAATGAACGTCTTTGGATATCCCCTAAACCATGTGCCTACATGGGTTGTTTACTAGTTCTACCCATGGCAAGTAGAACACCATCCACGTTGTGGGGTCTTATGACACCGGATTCCATGCCAACCTAGTGTGGTCTATGTCGGTTAATGCATATTCCCATCATGTGGGATGTGCACTCTAGTTATTGGATAGGTTCTACAATGTGTAGGTAGTAGTATGGGATGCTATCTACACATAGCACGGGTAGGCTTTGAAGATGCTAAAGTGAGTTCCCTAAGTCTTAAATGACTATTATGTGAGCATCCTCTAAATGCATAAATGTGTCCCTAAGCGTCTCAAATAATGAAATGTTAAATTAGTAGCTTATATTGATGGAATGAGATGCTTATCATATTAAGTTGCAATAGAAGGGTCCTTATTTATGGTAGCCTTGAAGAACACTTAGGTGTGGCATGAAGAGGTAGTATGGGTTGCCCCTCCATGTCTTACTTAGGTGGGTCTTAGGGTAACTTTAGGTGGAGGATCTAAGATGATGAAACGGTCTATTTGACAAATGTGCATGTGTTGAAAATTGGTAATAGTTGAGCATGCTTATAATATGAATATTGTCTTGTTTGTGGATGTTGATTTATAATGTGTCTCTTATACATGTGGTTTATGGATATGTATCAAAAATGGCATATATCTCAAATAAATGTCCCTTTTAGCATGTTTTTGCATGGTCATCATACTTAGTACTTAATTGTGCTAACCCCATTCTTTTCCTATGTTTTACTACAAGTGTAGATGTTGGCATGTGAGGTGGTTTCCATAATGAAGCTTGGAATTAGAGTTTCTCTCAAGACTTTTTGGTATGTCCTCATATGTCGAGGGCACAGATTCTATGTTCTAGTTTCTTTTATAAAGACTTTGTAATAGACTTGTAGTATTCTTCTTTATTGTAAAGGGCCGTGTCCCTAGATGTTTCTTTGTGACTTGGGTCTAAGTTGGCCATGTGAGACTAGTATTCCGCTTGCGTATAAAGACTTCTTTAAAGTGTTGTTGATTTTCAAGTCCTTTGATTTTGGTAAAAAAGTTTTAGTTTGGCATTATTTTTATTGCTTATGTGATGAATGAATGCTAAGGGCTTGTATAAGACCTTTTCAAGGTCGAATACACCGTGTTATGACTTGGGGGTGCTCTCGGGTTGTGACACCGGGCTGCAATTGTCGGCCTCCTTGAACCTCTAGAGTAAGAACCCTGAATGTTACTTGAATTCTTGGCTTTCTTAGCCAATGCCTTAGCCTGACCATCTCACCTCACCCTTTCCACTTTCTTAACAAAATATGTTACCTCATAGAAGCTTTTTCCTGCAGAGGTCATATGAACAGACAATACCTGCAACTCAGAATTTAATCCCTTAACAAATAGGTAGATCCTCTCTTCCTCAGTAGTCGCCAATTGAGTAGCATATCTTGACAAAGCATGGAACTTAGCCTCATAAGCAGTCACAGACATACCACCTTGCTCCAAAGTCATGAACTCATCTTTCTTGTGATCTCTCAAGGTTCGGGGCTCATACTTTTTCAAGAATAGAGCATGAAGTTGGGTCCAAGTCAGTGGGGTAAAGCTGAAGATCTGCATTCCACACAAGCTCTCAACCACTGCGTAGCCTCGCCCTGAAGTTGGAAGGTCACAAACTCTACTCCATGCTGATGGACAATTCCCAACTTATGAAGCCTCTCATAACAATCTAGGATGAACTCATAAGCTTTCTTACTCTCGGAACCATGGAACACAGGCGGTTTTAATTTCAAGAACTTAGTCAACATCTCATGTTCATTACCGGTCATAACAGGACCAAACAAAGAATGGAAAAAAGAGTCAGTACCTACAGTTCCACCCACCTTAGGGACAGTTATAGGAATAGGGGGATTGGAGGGAGCTTGAGTTGCTTGAACTGAGGGAAGCACTCCAGGACCAACCAATGCTTTCAGGAACGACATAATCTATTAACCTAACACTGGGTCTAGGGGAGGAATACTTATAGGCTCAACCTACACTTCTTCCTCTTGTCCAACATTCTCCTCTATCTCTTAAGATGCGTAAGAGGATTCTCATTTCTGGGAGCATTCTCAATGGGAGCTCCATCCCTAGTAGGTGCTACCCTTCCTCGGCTTCTTCCCCTTGCTCTTCCTCTACCCCTGCCTCGATCGCGACCTCTTGTTGTGGATTCCTCAATTGGCTTATTGACGGGAGCTACTGGCCTGACGCTGTTGAACCTAGTGTTAGCCATTTGCGGATAGAAGAGCGAAGGAGATTAGATACCAATTTGGATCACCAGATATCAATTGGAACCAAGTTATAGCATGAAAGGAAACAAGAGAATACATACAGATTTCCTAAAGTCCTATAGCCTCTCGAAGAAAAGTACAGACGTCTCCGTACCGTTTCACAAGACTCTACTAGGCTGGTTTTGGTACGCCGAGATCAACTAACCTAGGGCTTTGATACCAACTTTGTCATTACCCAGACCATCGTGATTGGCACCCACACTAACCCTTCAGTGGGAGAACCGTTACTACAACCCAACTAACCAAAAAACAAAACTAAAACATTTAAAGATACAGAAGTAGGTTTAAATGTCTATAGAAAAGGAAATAGGGAGTTTCCATAAACTCTGAAGTCTAACATACAAATGCAGAAGTTAATTCCTAGAACCTGAAAGTCAATGTACCAACGCTCTAACAAGGATCATAAGTCTAAAGGAAATGGGTACAACCCGATTAAACATAAGAAAATCTAAAGTACTAGTCGATGTCCTAATATGTGGACATAAACACAAAGAGAACTCATGGCAGCCCAGAAGAAGTGGCTCACCCTTGAATTCAAGTCGATCACTGGTCTTCTAAACGAGGTCTGTTAGTAGCCACCTGAAGATGCCTTGTACTCAACAAAGAAAGAGCAAGTGCAGTATTAGTACACAACCATAATGTACTGGTAGGATCACACGGCTATCCCAATAGGTGAAACGTATATAAGTCATTACAATCAATAAATAACATGCATACACCGAACATATACAATATCAATTATCATTTACGAACAACGTTCAATTTCACAATCACAAAGATATACAGATATGACAAGTCATTGGTCCTCTCACGGAACCCATACCCAAAATGTTAGTGTATCGATACGTGGTACCCGATCTAAGTTAGTGTGTCGAAATATGTGCCGAAACATGGCACCCGATCCAAGTTAGTGCATTGGAACGTAACACCCGACCCATTCAACAAGCCACAATCGCAATCACAATGTACATTCTCATAATCATACAATCAAGTCATGATTCATGACATACAATTATTCAGTCATCCTCATTTACGATTAGTGTGATCAATAATGCAGCATGCGCATACATACATGCATTATAATGAAATAATTACTAACATACATCACTCCAACATGAAATTACAACAGTCACCTACCTCGACCAAAGCTTGAATCCCCTAAGAAACTTGATTCTTCCCTTTCCGGATTCTTTCCTCTTGTTTCGGGTCTACAAACAATCAATAAAACGTCGGGATCAATAAATGAAGGCTAATTACCCGGATTACAATAAAACATAGGCCAAACACATGATCCCAATACCCAAATTAGGACTTTTTCCACCATCCAAACAGTTCCAAAACCCTACCCCATCAATAATTACCCATGAATTTATATTATATGGATCGAAAATCGGATTTGGGGAGTAAAAAACCTTATATTTAGCCTCAAGAATGGTGAAAAACTGTCACTAAGTTGCCCTAGTTCGTCTCCTAACTCTTAAGAACGAAATTTGCAGAATAATTACATTTTTGGGATTTATTTTAGACTTAATTAGCGATTGGCCCGCTATGGTGCCCCCCATCCCGCCACAGCGGC